CCACGCCCCGGATCTGAACCAGCAAAACCCTGGGCTGGCAAAGCGGAGCCCACAAACTTAACCACTCAGCCACAGGGCAGCCCCAATATATTTGTATTTTCATTAGCAGTTTCCTTTAAATTCTTTATCCTTTCTTCGTCTCTGTGAGATCCTTCAGAGGCTTCTCTATCTTATTGTTTTAAGTAAAACTTGTTAAATTCAAATTGTTTAAGTTCCATTACTAATCTATTAATCTAAAAACAGTAAAAATCTACTTAAAATTCAAATATAGTAATAACCATATTTCTAAATAGGGAGCATATACGCTCTTCTAAACTTTCCCCATGAATTTATAGAGTATTGTTCATTGAATAAAAGTGTCTACTCACAGCTCTTCTTGCCCTTATTATTTAAAGTCTAAACCATGCATGTTCATGTGGATTTTCTTGCAGGTATCGTGTGAATCCACTCATCCTTTCGACTTTTTTCTCATCTGGGTTTCTGGCCTTGAGAGTGCACTGGAGCTTTGCTCTTTCTCTCCAGATTTCCTCATTAAATTTTTCTAAGCCTTTGTTCCTCCCTCTTCCCCTTCTGTCCCAATTCCCCTTTCATGACTTTCCTCCATATCTATCTATTTCTTCCCTTTTTCTCTGAGCTGTCCAATACTACCTTATAACACCTATGATTCTGGGTATCAATATCTTGACTGGCAGAGGTTACCTTATTAGAAGTTGTTTTTGAAGCTTGGGCTTCTGTGAAAGCCTCATAGTGTCTTTGAAACTAACGCCACCTTGAGTGCCTGCTTAGTTCAAAGCAGATCCTAAAGACTGAGTGAGGAGACAATGGTACGTTTCTTCTAGATTATACCAGTGGCCCTTTGAGCATCCTTACTGCTAGTCTTCTGCCTTCCAACTCCCCTCACCCATCTCACTCACCACCACTTCCCCATCCGATGGTTGGACTGATCTTTCCTAAGCTCTACAATACATATAGTAGTGTTTAAGGTCGACTGTCAAGCCCTCAATTGCTGTTGGAACTTACTGTCTGCGCCCCTCTGAATGTGTTATACCTCAAGGAAAAGAGATTTTACTGTATCTTTGCTTTTTCATTCAGCTAGAGTTCATCTCTTTCCTCAGAACTCCTATAATCCGTTCGTTTATATTTCTGCTATTGAACTTACCACAGTCTGCCTTGTATCTTTTGTATGTGTTCTCCTTGACTTGTAGTCTTGATAAGGGCCAGGAGCATCTCTTCTCTTCTTCTTTTGATCCCCATGGAATTTTGTAAAATACGATCATTCGTAGATGTTTTTCAACTGAGCTGAACATTATGCCAAACAGAATCAAGATATCTTGCACTGACTGGCTGAAGTTGCTAAGAACAGATTAATTAGGACTGCAAAATCAAAGCAGGTTTTACAAGCAGAGAAATCTAGGAGAGCGAGGTTGGAAGGAGGAGTGGGCGTGGAAGTAAACTCCGGAGCCTGGAAAGATCTTTTCTTTTTGGGCACAAGGTGGCAGACCATGCTCATTTCAATTATTGCATGCAAGGCAGCTTTGTGAGGCTGGAATTTTCTGCCCTATTTTGGAAAACTATGTTTATAAAAAAAAAAAAAGCAAAGCTAGTGTAGCTTGATGGCTGAAACCTAGGTTTGTATAAAGCACAGACCCGCTGCCTGACTGCGGGCGGTGTTTCCGGGCCTCTGGTCCTTCTGTTTTAAACTCACTCCTCCATGGCTGCCTCCCAAACAATGCATCGCACATGTTGAAACGTTTTGAGTTTCCCTTAAATGGATGAAGAAAATCTGAACATTGTCAGTATTTGAATAAATATGCGTGAACACTCAAACTTGGAGAGAGGAAACAAAATCCAACCAGAGAATTGAAATGTAGTTTCTCCACTAGATAGCAGACCAAGACAGATGACCTTTGGAAGGTCCCGCCTCTAATCACCCAACTAAAACGTTGGTTTTCTCTGTCAGCTGACTTTTTCCCCTTTACAACACCAAGTATTTTTCATGTCATTAGACCGTTCACATGCAAGGTTTGGTATAATCTGGGATATAAGTAGCAGAGTGAGTTCAGTTCATTTATCTGCAATTTAAATTCTGATATAGTTTTCTTCACTTCATTAATTGCCTCCAGTTTTATGTGTGTGTGCGCCAAAATTGTCTTTTATTAAAAAAAAAAGCAAAGTACTAAGAATAGTTTATTCTGGAATTCTCATGGTGACTAATTTATTAGGTGATGTGTTAGGTCTTTCCATTGATACTGATTTCTGTCAAACCTAGCCGACGGAGAATAAATAAGGGAAAAAAGATATTCCTTGTTTTCATGTTCTACTTAGCATTTTTTTCAGATTCTCTCTCTTGCTATACACATATACATACACACACATACTATATGAATGTGTGTGAATATGTACACACTCTCTCAACGTACATGTCTGCAGATGTACATTCATAGATATAATGTCTATTATATATTGTGTATGTCTCTTTATATGATATATGGCAGCACAGTGAGTGTTTAGGAGTGAAGACTCTGGAGCCTGACTTCCTGGATACAAATCCTAGCTTACTAGTTGGAACACTTACTAACAGTCGTCTGCCTCAGTTTCCTCATTTGTAAAATGGGGATAAGAATGGTACCCATGTAATAGGCTGGCAGTGCAGGTTGAAGGATTTAATAGGGTGTGGCACGTGTTAACCATTATTTGTGCATGTCTGGAGAAACTGATTTATTCCACAGCTTATATCGCAACGTTTATTTCGTAAGAAAAGCGCCTTCTATCTATCCACTGTGGGAGCTTGGATCTCTTGAAGACGCCACAATGTTGACACTGACTTGTATTCACTTGTGTTATATGTATTATTCAACTCAGTAATCTAGGTGTGTATGGAACATGCCAGTCATGGTTTCAGCTGTTTGGGAACTTACGTCTTACAGAGACAAGAGAAATCATATGCGCCTTTCTTTCTCTATCCTGTCTCTCTCTCTTTCTTCTTGTCTCAGCCCTTCTCATTTACAAGAATGTCAGGAAGGGAGAGGCATACCAATTAGTAATTCAACCCAGCTGCCAATAACCAAAAAGCAGAGCAGTTGCTTAACAAATAGAGAATCATTTTCCTCAAAGAACAAGCGCTCTGAAGGCAGGAGGGCTGCCGGAGCAGATCTAGTGGCATCGCTATGATTATTTGGTCCTTTTATGTTAGAAAACCTAACACTGCTCTTTTACTATCACACTCACAATATTTCTGACACCAGATGTGTGGGGTTTTTTTTCCCCACACCAAGCACTTCTGTGACACCAGCTGGGTGTCCTACAATTTAACTCAATTAAATTGAGTTAATCTAATTCAAGTTAAGGGGTAAGTCCCACAAGACTGCCCCCTCCCCATTCGGATGCCAATTGCAAGTCCAGGTTGTCACCTGTGCCTCTGACCTATCAGCTATAAATAAGAGGCTCCCACAACCCCCTCCTTGGGTTCACAGAACTCAGGAAGACAATTTACTTACTGTTTACCGGTTTATTGTAAAAGGGTATGATAAAGGATGCAGATAAACAGCCAGATGGAAGAGATGCATAGGGCAAGGTGTGTGGGAAGGGGCGCAGAGCTTCCGTGCCCTCTCCAGGTGGGCCACTCTCCCTGCACCTCCACATATTCACTGACCTGGAGGCACTCTGAACTCCATACTTTTGGGATTTTTTTGGAGGCTTCCTTACATAGGCATAATCAGTTATTAACTCCATTTCCAGCCCCTCTTCCCTCTCTGGAGATTGGGGGTAGGGCTGAACATTTCAAGCTTTTAATCATGGCTTGGTCTTTCTGGTCACCAGCCCCCATCCAGGAGCCCACTCAGGGTCACCTCATTAGAACAAAAGATACTGCTGTCATCCAAGAAACTCCAAGGGGTTTGGGAACTCTACGTCAGGAACTGGGGTCAAAGACCAAACATTAGAACAAGAGATGCTCCTTAGTGGTCTTAGCACGTAGGAAATCACAAGGGTTTTAGGATCTCTGTGCCAAGAACCAGGGGCAGAGACCAATATATATATTTTCTATTATCTCACACCTTTCCTTCATGATCACAAATGGCTGCTGCACCTCCAAGCATCGTGTAAATGATAAGCAAAGAAGAGTAGGGTAAGAAAGGAGAAAGGGTGGTACTAGCTGAATAAGCTCCTCTTATCATGAAAAAGCAAAAGCCTTCCAGAGCTCCCGTCCTCCCTTCCCAGGAGGCTTAGGTCTGATTTCTAGAATGGCGTCACAAGGCCGTTAGCTAGAAAAGCATCTATACTAAAGGTCAGGAAAAAGAAATAGGCTGGAAATGATTTGGGATCAGCCAATGAATAATATCTGCCAAAGTAAGTTTTTGTCTTGGCTTTGCGTTTGGGCTTCTTTTTCTCAAATTCTCCCTGTTTCCCTCCCTCCACCCCATTCCCCTCTTTGTCTGGAAGGAGGTAGAACTGAGAAAAGGGATAACATGGAGATTGGTTTCAGGAAACAAAATTTGCCTTATAAGAAGTTATCAATGTGCAACAGAGGAAAGAGCATAGAAGGATATGAAGGAGGGCACTTTACCGGAGCAGCGGGAGGTCAGAGGACAAAGGAAACGCTGGATCAAGCAGAGCTGGATGAGGGGATGTGTTCATGCTGTATTCAGTGGATTAATGCCACAGCACTGCCTTCGAGAGGCAGAACTAAACTTGTTGCAAATGGAGCACCGCAGACAACAGACTTTCTTATGGATCGTTTAATTACAGATTATCATATGAGAGATACTGTTTATTTTCATGTCTACAGAACAAACAACAAGGGAATGCTTTTGTGACATTCACAAACTATTTTTAAATGACACCTATTCAACTGTTATATATTCCATAAATCTTTAAGGAATTTTTTTTTTCCTTAAGAAAAGCTTCATGGGCCAGCCCTGTGGCCGAGTGGTTGGGTTCGTGTGCTCTGCTTCGGCGGCCCAGGGTTCGCACCCTGGGAGCAGACATGGCACCGCTCGTTGGGCCATGTTGAGGCAGCGTCCCACATGCCACAGCTGAAAGGATCCACAACTGAAAAAATATACAACTATGTACTGGGGGGATTTGGGGAGAAAAAAGCAGGGAAAAAAACAAAGAGAAGCTTCATGACTCTGAATGGAATTTCACACTATGACCATTAAAATAGCAACAAATTCTCCCCAAGAGGCCAGGTTTCTCGGTGTTCTCAATGCCCCGCTCTGTCCTTCTTCATCTGGTCTGCTGTCAGGTGGCTCTCCTTTACCATCAAGCCACAGGTGACAGGTACTCGAACCCTTATCCTGTTGGGAATGTCTAGTGGACTAGTCACCATCGCTCTCACTTGAACTGTCACTGTCAGATGACTCACTGCTGTCACGCTTTCTAGGGTGACTAAAGCTTCTATTGGGATGGGGTTTTCTGTAATCCCAGGGACCTTTCCTTTGTGCCATACCCTTATTCCCTGAAGAGTTATTTTGTCCGTGGGGCACATAATGATATTTTCTGCTGTGTGTTATAGTCCCCTCATTATTGGGGACATTATGGGAACCAATTTCATTTTTAATTTCATGATCAAGACCACGAGAAGGGGTGAACCGGCCCTGACTTTTGCTCTTACCAGGAAATCTTTGTTTTTCATTTGAGGTCACTTGATTCCTATTAGAATGTTCTGGACTTTTCCTACCACTACCTTTGCCATTTTTTGGAACTTCATTATAATTAGTACTTTCAGTTACATCACTAGTGCCTTCTTTTCTTTTCTCTTTTGAGGGTGGATCAGGGTAATGAAACTCGACTTGCCCTTGGTGAGCATTTTGGCTGCCGGCATCCACTCTGTTTCCTTCTTTTCCAGGGAGCTTCTTAAAATCAGTGCTGCCTATGATGTCGTTGCTGCCCTCCACTAGGCTCACACCAGCAGCATTTGCCTCTTTTGCTGTTCCATCCCTGGTTCCGATGGCATTTCCGCCATTTTCTTCTTCCTCTGGGATCTCGTTATAACCTGGCCCTCTTGCGTCAGGATGACTCGTCTCAGCTTCACTTGGGCCGGAGAACTCTGTTTGAACATCTGCACCTTCTGGGTCAGGACCAATAGCTTCTCCTTTACCAGATATGTCCTTAAAAGGTTGCCCATCTCCACTGAAAGGAGAGATATCATTGTCCCCCCTCTCTTGAAGATCTGGGTAACCACTGCCTTCAACATCACTGGGGATTTTTTTGACTTTTGGGAGCTGTTTTAGATAGTCAGTGTTGTGTTGGATACGGTAGGTGCTTTTGCTTTTTACTGGAATATTCTGGGCTTGGGGATCTTTTTGATGACTCTTTTTATCTTTTGAGGGGCCTTTAGCATAGCTCGCTCCTGCTGGAATTTTGCTTACAACTTTCCTGGGTTTGTTCTCTTTGTTTTCTTCCCCCAAGAGTTCAACCACCGTCCCTGGCTCCATTATGTGCTGCATATTCTTTCTGAGGAGATGGGCACTGTATTCTTCTTGGTCATGGAGTTTGCTGACAGCATCATCTCCATCCTTGGCTCCATTATTCCCAGTGGATTCAGGATATGTGGACATCTTTAGGTCATTGCGGGCATTTTCCTTTTTGCTAATACGATAGTCTTCCTTCACTGTCTGTCTATCTTCAAAAAGAGTTTGAGATTTACTGCTTTGGTTATTTTCATTGGCTCCAAGAAGAGACAAGTCTTTCTCTCTTTCCTGGGCAATGTTTTCTTTAGGTGCTGGCTCTTGATTTCTTCCCTTGCCGGAAACGTGAACAGCAATATTGTCTTTGTTTTTTTCTTCCTTCTAAAGTGTAATTTCCAACAGAAAGTGATTATTTTATGTTAAATTTTAAAAATCTAATAATTCTTAGGCAATACAAAAGAACAACAACCATCAAATACTTAATAAAAAGAGTCCATTAACTCAGTAGAGGTTTGTTGGTGGAGATAATTCTGGAAGGGCCAAAGCAGGTTTCACGGAGAAAGAAGAATGAGCGAGGCTTGAAGGATGGGTAAGATTCAGATACATGGAAGGAAGCAGTGAGAATATTCTAAGAATACATGGCATATTCAAATGTTTGGAAACAGGAAACACTTGAAAAATAATATGAGTAAAACTTTAAGGTTGGAGTAGAAGAATCCTAAAGAAGAGAATAAGAAATAAATATGGAAATGTAGGAGGACCTGGAGGAGGACCTGAATTTAAGAAAGACATTGTGGTCCCCGTCTTGTGACAAGGGAGTCTCTGCAGGTGAAGTGGGATTCATATCTTTAAAACAATCATTGTCTCTTTTTCTCTCTTCCCTTTTGCCCTGGTTTTCAGAGGTGTTCATCTGCCTAAAGGAAGATTTTCTTTTTCTTTTCCTTTCTTCTTCTTCTTTTCTTTTATTACAGAAATATACAAACAGAAGAAACTGGGTAACTCAGTTTCTGACATTCAAACAAAGGATTTTGCAGCAAGTGTTGAAATCCCAGCTATGGTCTGAAAAAGGATTCATTAATTTTCTTTCCTTCCCCTTTTGTCAGATAATAAACCAAATTTGGTAGTTTAGATCAATAGTCCTCAAATTTAGCATTTATCAGAACTATTTGGAAGGCTGGCTAAAACAAAGATTCTTGGACCCAGTGGCCAGAGTTTCTGATTCAACAGGTCTGAGATGGGGCTCTAGAATTTGCATTTAAAACAAGGTCCTGCTGATGTTGATGCTGCTGGTCTGTGGCCACATTTGGAGATCTACTGTTCTAGACAATAAGGTTACGTACTGGAGGTCCAGATGAGAAAAGTCCTTGGAAGATTATCGGGATGAAAAAGAGAAAGTGGAGGAGGAGAGTAAAGTGTTTATGCATGCGTCTTAATTTGTCTTTTTTTTGTGGGAGGATGATCTGTAAAGATGCTGCTTCATAGGCTGCACTTGACCAACCTGGGGTGCAACCAAGTTGCAATAAGCTTGGCAGAAAAATGTGGTCAAGAGGAAAGAGGGACTGAGATCGACTTTGCCCATGCTACTCAATGTTTCCTTGTGACACAGGCTAGATATGGGAGTGTGTGAGAGTCTGGTCAGGAACTTTCCAGAGGGTGTCATAGTGGAGGGAATGAAGTGGTTCTAAAACGAGCAATGTCCACGGGACATGTGCACTAGAGACAAATGTGAGTCATATTCAAACAAAGAGGGGTCTAAATTGTGCATGAGAGCCCGGAGAGGCTGAATCACCACTGGATGCCAAGCAAGACCGTACTGTTTGCATCTTAAGCAATGGTAGCCAGTGACTTCATCTTAGGCTCCAGCAGGGCAAGGAGCACACAAGTGGTCCAGCAACGTTGCCCCATGTATGTCTGAGGATTCCATGTCTTCCTCTCTACTATGGCATAAGCCATGTTTGTACCTATGGTATATGGTATGTAGTGAATGGTGTAAGCCACACCCTACTCTCTCATACACCTGCATGCCATCTGAGAGAGGGAAGGAAGGAGAATGAGGATCTGAGCATTTTTATCCAAAAGAGACGGAAGGATTTACTTTAAAAACTATTAGGTAACCTTAAGTTTAAACAGGTTGAATTTAAATTAATTTCTGCACACACCCTCCCCCACCCCCTCCATTAACCTGCGGGTAGGAGCTCTTGAGCAACAGAACAGTTAGAAACAGAATAAATACCATTTCTATCCACCTCAAAATTGTAGGGCTAGTTAAAATTTACAACACCGCCACACAGGCCTTTGAACTGGTGAGTAATATGAAATCAAAATAAGAGATGTTTATTGAGGGACTGGGACATGTTAGAAATTCGGCTGTTCCAAGCAATACCCGAAGACTTATGAATGGCAGAGGGAATACTCCTGCAGGGGACGGGAGTGGGGGCAGGGCGGGGAGGCAGAGACCTCATAGCTAACTGCAGTTGGCACAGATACACAGAGTGCCAGAGATTTGTAGAACCTGGGACGCCACGCATAAGAATTGGGTTTTATTTTGCAGGGGATGAAAAGCTAGTAAAGGTTTACGAGCAAGAGATTAACGAAACGAGAAGCAGGGGTTCAGGAGGAATAGTGGTAACAAAGCACAGTTAGGAGGATGCTGCAGGATCCAGGAGCGAGAGGTAATCCCTTGGATTAAGATTATGCCAAAGAAAAAATTACAAAGAAAACCCTTCTATTGATGCCCAAATAGAATAAGCAAAGCTAAAATGAACTGGGATGTTGACATGCAAAAATGAAGACAAGAGACAAAGATAACTTTAATAGGAGCCATATTGATGTTGAGAGGATATAGATGCTCTCAGGACAAGTCCTTCCCAGTTCCCACGACCTGTGGTCAGCTCTTCCCTCTTTGGACATTTTATGGGCAAATTGTTTGCTATTTTTCCTGTCAGATCTTTTCATTTATGGAAATTCTACTTTTTTCAAGTTGTTTCTTTTTAACCTGCAACTCGTAGCTAGTATCTCTTTTTTCCTGAAGCAACAATTACTAAGGAAATGTCCTATTCCATATTCAACCCTTCTGATATTTGGAAAAGTTAAGATTTCCTCCAAACTCATTGAATGCCTTCTCTTCTCCAGCTTGACACTGGTAATTCTCCCTTATTGGGTCACTATGTTCAGACCCAACACCCGACTATGGATCTCCCTAGCTGGTGGGGTCCCAAACCAGCCCCAGACTCTGATGTGGCCTGATTGGCCCTGAGCATGCGGCATCTAGTGGCTTCCTGGCCCTGGCCACAGCCCTGTTTTTACTAATGCAGTTTAATTTTGTCCTGTTTTTTTGGCCACCCCCTCAATCTGTTGGCCATTGTTGAGCATGTGGACATCCCCTTGGATGTATTAATTAAATATACGAAAACATATGAAAGCTCCCAGATGGAAGAAAAGTGCAGTTAGCTGGAAGCTTGTGCTTCGGAGGCAAGCATGTAGGGAAGGTAACAAGGGAGAAAGCCCACATTCAGGGAGGCCAGGGTGGCGGGGAAATAACAGGCTGGAGGTGGCAAATGGTCTGTCTTGAGCCCTCCATCAAGTGCTGCCTGAAAGCAGGTGTAACTATGGAAAGAACACAGTATAAGAACATGCCCAACTCTGCTGCTTATGTACGGTGTGACCTTGGAGGCCTTCCTTTGCTTCTCTGAGGCTCAGCTTCCTTAGTTGTAAAATAAGAAAGGTGATACTTTGCTTTCAGGATTGTTGGGAGAATCAAAGGACTCTGTTAAATGCGTGTAAGGCATCTAGCACAATGTCCATGGTCAACCAAGTTCTATGTAAATGATGGTAACTATCATTTCTTCCAGAACTGCACATAGCCCTTTATCAAATGGTAGTTTGCTTTCCTACCTACTGTTAATGATAGTCATTTGATTATTCAATTAAGTTGGATTGGAAAAAACAGGGCTATGGCCAGGCAAACAGCTACTAGAAGCTGCTCTCCAGTCTCTGCTCTTGTGTAACTGGGTGTAGTGGCAGGGGGAGAACACTGCTTCTGGACCCCTCTGGCCCTGTCCTTCCTGAATGCCACCCTCTGGCTGTGGGTTCTACAGAGCTTGTGGCTCCTGAAACCATGTTATCTAAAATGGATTTTGATTGAAATTTCTCTCTCTCTCTTCCTCTTTTTTGGTCCCTAAATAGAAGTAATATTCTACTTGGAGGACTGCCTGCTTTCGTACAGGCATCTTATTAACGTTAGAAGCAGTGGGGAAACTGTTGAGTTCGCTCACACTTGAATCTCAAGATAAAAATGATTTGTGCAAGTACCTTCTATTCTTACGAAGCTGGCTAATATGCAACATACAAAGTTCCACCTTGCAGTATTTTTAAGACATAATTTGAAATAATTTATATGTGGGAGTTACGACATCATCATTCACTAATCTTTTTATGTTGGCAGGTCTGTTCTGAAAATAGATAAGATTTTGCTATGAGAAAAATATATGATAGGAAAAAGTCTTATGGTGAGTTATTACTGAATGAAAAATATTTTAAATGTTTGACTTATTTTAAGACATTTAATCTTAGAAAGTTGCACATGGACATTTATATTTTCGTTTGCAATCAAGTTTACTTGCTCTTTGCTAATATATCCTTTTGCGTTAAACAGGTGCATTAGAAAATCAGTAGATTATAATAAGCCTTTCTTAATTTATCTCCCTCCCTAAGCTGAAGTGGGAGGTTTTATTTTGCATTTGGTACTTTTACTCCTTTAAAACAGTAGCACGTATACTAAGGAACTGTGTGCATTTCATTAAAGACTGAATGAGCTCCTTGTATAAATGAAAACACGATACAAGTTTTAAATTGTGGTAGGTGATGGTCAATCATTCTTGCATTTGCTCTTGTTAAATGATTTCTGATTGCACTGTTGACCGTGTGATGGTCTATGTATCAGCTGGCTGGTCTGCTTTCCTGTGCTCTGCTTTTTTCTCCCCATGCCTTGGCTCATATTATTATTTTCATGGAGAATGGCCTCTCCCACCCACTTGTTTGCTCAAATCCTACTCATCCTCCAACGCCCAGCTCAATTATTTCCATTGTGTAGCTTTCTCTGAACACCAGACTAGGACCTAATCCTTTTCTGCTCCAAGCCCTAAAGCATGATTTTTTGGGTACCACTCACAAAGCGCTTTGCACGTACTGTCTTGGTTTATAATGATTTTCGTAAGTGACTCTTATTTCTTTTCCAACTCTAAGATCCTGGAGGCAAAGAATTAAGTTTTCTCAAACATTTTGTCTCATATAGTATCTTGCACAATAGGAAGAATCAACGCGTTTGTTACAACAAATAAGTTTAACAGGCTATTAGTCTTAGAGATGCTGAGTCTTAGAGATGCAGCTAAAGAATATTGAGCAGAAGAAAATAACACTCTGAAGGGAAACTACTACTTTCATGGGAAATGAAACCAGATTTGGGAAAAGTAAATAGTCCTTTTGCTGAGGGCATTTTAAGCTGTTTCCAGCTCTTTGGCCAATGAATCTGCAAGAAGGGACTGAATGAAAAGAATTGTTGCATTTCAGTGACAAGGCCCTTGTTCTTTCTCTTCTGAGGATCGTGACACAGATGGAGTCATCAGTGAATGAATTTCAGGGGCCCTAAAACGTGTCACTCTTTAGGCCAAAACGACTTCTCCTAATCCCCACCCTTACAATAAATGGTAGAGTATGCCCAGAAAACCTCTTTATAAAAGACCAAACATCACCCAGAAGCAATACCATGAAAAACTCCTGGGCATCTGGGGTCCACTGGTACCACACCTGCAGTGGCAGGGCCTGAAGCAGGGCAGGATTTGGGCCAGGGGTGGAGTCACCCATCTGTGTCAGCAGGAGCCTGGGACCATGGGAAAAGGACAAAGGTGCCAGCCACAGACAGAAACCCCAGAGCAGGCAAAAGTAACCTTTGTCTCCCCTAGAGCCTCGCCTAGCATCAGGCCAGAGTTTGCTCATGATAAGGATCATCACTCAGAGATTCAGCTTACCTTTATGTCAGTTTGATTTTTCCTCCCAGATGATGTGTAAACATACTTAAAAATATAATACCCATGTTTCTCATGGTGGCCCTTGTACGTTATCTACAAAAATACAACATTATATTAAGATGGGTTTATCTCTTTCTAAGAAGTTTTCTGGCTCTCCTTTTGATAGTACAACATATTTTTTATCTTGGGTCAAGTCTAATTCTGCATCTGACAAATGGTAGTACTTCTTATAACCACAGGAGGGCGTGCGTCAGCCAGCTCCTGAAGACAGCAATGCTTTCCTTTCCTTTCTCCACATTTCTGAATGTTTTCCCTAAGGATGACTATCAACTGCTCTCTCTCCCAGGGTGTATCGTTTTTATTACCAAGTTTTAAAGGAAATGGAGCACTTGGAAATATTTTTAGATGGGACGGTGCTGGGGGATTAGGAGAAAGGCAGATTTTACGTCATGTCTGATGTCAAATTGGCAAAACAGCATGAACGTTCAGCCCTTAAGTTTGCAGTTTTTGCCTTTGTAATTTTCAGTTGAGATAGAGAACAGAAGATTGTTAGTTCTTAGAACAGAACTTTCTGAGACTGCCAGGAGAAACCGTGGTGGGCAGAAGGAAGCTGCAATTTGGTGACGTGAAAGCTGACAATTCTTGTTTAACTTTCTGGATGCGTATGGAAAACCAACGCCATGTAAACAGAATTCCCTATTAAGACTTGTTAATTCCTTTCCCTTTGTTTTCTCCCTCATTTATTGCTTTGTTCTCAAGCACATGGGCGGGAACATATTGTTTGCTAATAACAACATCCCAGAATTTTTCCTCACTTATCCCTTTGAAGGAAGAAATCATATTGAAGAGAAACGAATCTCCATTCAGAATGCTTCTCTTTTCTACCACACATTGTGTGAACTAAAGTGCCAAAATTGCATTGTATAATTTTGTCTTTCCATTTTAAGTACAAAAGAGTCTTTTGATCATTAAAATTTTCCTCTTATTGACTTTCTTTCTTTACGGAGTTGAAACGGATTTATTTGAGAAGTCTGTTTACCCTCTGTTCTTCCACACAGTCTTGCTCAGTTTTCTCAGTCTGTGGTTGCAATGCCTGCAAGGAAACAAGAAATGAAACTTCACCAAACATTCATTCTTTCATTCATTTCTTCAAACAACACACGTTTCATTTCATTTTCTCTCACTAGGTTGTAATGTGGAAAATCATTCTGACGGAGGAAGACGGACACACTTAGCACATTAATATTTGTTTGGGTGTTACAAGAGAGTGCCGGTGTTCCTCCGCCAGAGGGAGACAATGCCATCTCCATCACAGAACCACACTCAAGCACGAGAACTGCCAAGATGGGGAAGGGTGGTACTCCAGGTGAAAAAGCTTGGAGGTCATTGGTATCCACTGGAAAAGAAGTTTCTACAGGCACACTGGGAGTTGTTTAGCATCAGTGAACCCAAATGAGAGTTCAGTGATGTGCATTGTATGTGCACTGACTGTATACGTTTGGTAGTTGCTATATGAGCTCAGATATGGTGCTGCTGATGGTCCAGCAAGAGTAAAACCACAGCCCTGCATTTAAGGGGAAGGATCAACCTAAGGATGGGCCTTTATGGTTGCCAGTCACCTGGGCAGATATTTCTTCCTGGGAAAGAAAAATGCGGTGGCCGGCTGGTTGGGACAAATCCTTTCTTTTGATCTGACATGAAAGTATCAAAATATCTTGAGGGTACCTAGGGACAACAGGCAACTACTGAGGTAGAGGAAAGCCAGAAACTAGAAAGGAATGGACCCAGTCAGCTTGTCCCAGGCTTTTGGGCTAAAATTTAGGTGTCACAGGAGAGCATGAAGAAGAGTATGGGAGAATCCCGGAGCAAGCTTGCCGTAGAAGGACAGACATAAGGATTCTTTTATTCTCAGTATTTCTACTTCCCTATTTATTTTTGAAACTCCTAGCTTATCTCAGATGTGGCAAGAGGACTTGCGGGTGGGCCTGGTTCGTGTCTGAGTGAGGGTGCTGAAGTGGAAACAGGCTTCATGGTGATATCAGTCATATAAGAGAGAGATACCCTCAAGGGAAAGATTAGATTAAAAGGCCCTGTCGGTCTAGAGAGCATTCTGCCTGAATAAACCTTCAAGTCCTGTATTTCCTTGTAATAAGATATGGGTAACTATCCTGCTGGCTTTCAGATACTGTGCTTCTCCTGCTCTCTTCGTAGTTGTCCCCCTACAAACTATATTTCCCGAGCTTCTTTGCCATCTGGCTTCAGTCTGAGTTTGGCTGATGGGGGGGCCAGTCTGGAGACTGGAGGGTGGAAGGAGAGGGTGGCCGAGGTATGTCCCCACTGCTCTGGGTTTGGGGCTCCATCTCTAGAATTGGATGCATCTCCTTTGTGCTCCTACTTCCTGCTGCACCGTCCCCCCCACCCCCCATCTGCTCCTCCCCTCACCGCCGGCTCCCCCGGGGCACTGGGAACACCCCTTCCTTCCTCGTCCACCAGCCCAAGGGTGAGTCCATCTTTGGGTTGTCTTATCACCCTTAACTTGCCCTTTCTATTCGGCCTACGCTTTATAACTATTCTCTAAATAAAATCCCTGCAGTGAGCTCCCTGTCCTGGATTTTGTTTTCCTGCCTGGACTCTGACTGATAAAATCGTCTTAGAAATAAACTCAAAACTTTGATGAAAGTACCCTATTGGCTGGGCTCCAAGGTATATCTGCCTAACTGTTCATTCCATTCTAGAAACAAACCCAGTTTCACAATCACACCTTATATTTATATAGCTTTTTACCATTTGTAAATTGCTTTCGTATACGTAATCTCATCAGATTCCCATAATAACCCCCGTGAGACAGGCAGAAGAAGAAACGGAATTGCTCACATTCACACAGCTGGGAGCAGCAGGAGAAGTAAAGGAGATATTTTAACCTAAATTCTCAATCTCAAAGTCCCAAGGGTAAAATAATCAAATTTTAAATGGCCTGATAGATTAACAAAAGATATTTAGTAATAAGAGGAAATGTTCCTGAAGTTTATATTAAGTAACTTCATGGCATATTTTATAATTTTCTCCTTTATTATATTTCTTTCTTATATCAGTTCTTATATGATCTTGTGCATATAAATTTAGACCATTGCATCAGTCCAAAAATATTAAAAGAGGGGCCAGCCCCGTGGCCGAGCGGTTAAGTTTGCGCACTCTGCTTCGGCGGCCCAGGGTTTCACTGGTTCCGATCCTGGGGGCGGATATCGCACCGCTCATCAAGCCAAGCCGAGGCAGCATCCCACATGCCACAACTAGAGGGCCCCACAGCTAAAAATATACAACTATGTACTGGGAGGCTTTGGGGAGAAAAAGGAAAGATAAAATCTTTAAAAAATAAAATATCAAAAGAGTGAAAATAGTTCTGGAAGTGGGGCTATGGGAAAAAGAAAACATATAAAAGAGATGGATAGATATTAAGCAAAAGAAGGAAATGTAAGTTTGGGGTGTTCACTGTCTTACAGAATATGCACACACACGTGTATTAAAACCATACTTGATAGTCTAGAGTACCTTAATGTAGTTTAGGATAACGAATCATGAGCTTATAACAAAGTAACTTATAGCAAAGTCTTTGTAGTCTAATGCCATATTGATGACTATTAATTGAATGGCATGGTTCAATAATCATCTTTTATTTTCTTCCATTTTTAAAGGGAACCAGAATGTCACCCCAAAATATGCCTCTTTGACATAAAAATTAGTTTGAGCTGAAGGCAATTAAGAAATAGTAAATGCAGAAAAAGCTCCCCCTTTTCTGCCAAAAGGCAGGAAAGAAATTCTCCTTTTACTAGACAGAGTCTTAGCAGCACAAAGACACAGCAGAGGAATCTACACATGAACCTTGGCCAATTAACCCTGATCTTCCTAGACACGGAAGAGAAGGATCACCCAGCCCTGGCTGGACTCCCCCCAGCCCAAGCCCCTCTGTCTTGTCTATTCTTCACAGATGTATTGTTTCTTTGTCACAAAGGTATGAAAGTTTCCTGCTCTGGTCACTTCTTCGGGTCTTCATTCTCTTGTGAAGGCTCCCACATCCATGTAAAAATTTAATAAAATTTACTTGCTTTTCTCCTAGTAATCTGTCTTTGCCGGTTTAATTTTCAGACCCACCCTCAGATCCAAACAAGATTGAGGAAAACTTTTTTCTCCCTTACAGTCTCAATTTGGACTATAATTCCAAAACATCGGTAAGTGACTCAGTATATACTCATTTCTGATACTACCCATCTATTTTTAAATAATTTAGCTAAGTGCTCAAATAGCATCTATATATCTGGGAGAAAACATCACATTTAACCATTCATAATTCCAAATTTTGTCTCTATGTCCTTGCTGAGCCTCTTTCATTCTCCCCCCACACCCACTGGGCTGTTCTCCACGTTTGAATGTGGTCCTGTAATGGAGACGGCGTTGTCTCCCTCTGGGAGGAACGCTGGCACCCGCTTTTGACCAGCGGTCACTGGGTTGATGTTGACATAGCACATTTACTGGAAGATGGTCAGAGTGCCACCCCAGCCGTTCCTTAGAATATGTTGCTCAAAATAGACTCATCCTCAGCTAGTGGGATGGAGCTGGCTCAGCAAGACCCACTCCACCCCCATCTTGCCTAAGCACGTACCTCTGCGGCCCTGACTGAGCTAAGTCGTGTGGCCTGGGCCTGGCAGATGTCTATTTCAAGCAGTCCGGGCCCACAGGACTGTTTGATTTCTGCTGAGAGGGGACAAGCTCTTCTCAGCTTCTGCTGTCCTCACGGGGTGGCGTGGCTCATGCCTGTCAGTGAGTTACTCAACTGGTCACCCACTCGCTCAGGGCCTATATTCAAGTACTTCTGGCAGCAAAATGACGGCTCATTTCCATAGTTCTCCAACTGAAAAGGTCAGAGAGTGCTGAGAAGTTAGGATACTTTTCAGACATTATCTAATTAGCACTGCATCTGCCTGCAGAAAATATCTGTAACATTCAGCGCTTTCACAAGATAATTTGGTTGTATCCTGAGTACTCATCTCAGTGAATCAGAGGGAAGAAAATATGCAAAAGGAAATTGGAGCTTGATTTAGGTTAAGCTTAGAGGTACTTCTTCCCATCTTTAGCTCCGCTGATGAAGAGAAAATTATTAGCAGGAGCCTACAGTGTTAGGATATTGCAAAAATTACAGAAAATTTCTTGTCCCTTTCTTTTCTTTTCTTTTTTTTTTTTTGAGGACGATTAGCCCTGAGCTAACATCTGTTGCCAATCCTCCTCTTTTTTGCTGAGGAAGACTGGCCCTGAGCTAACGTCTGTACCCATCTTCCTCTACTTTATATGTGGGACGCCTGCCACAGCATGGCTCGGCAAGCAGTGCCATGTCCATACTTGGGATCTGAACTGGCGAACCCTGGGCCACCGAAGTGGAACATGTGCACTTAACTGCTGTGCCACTAGGCTGACCTCAATCCTTGTACCTTTCTGTTACCATCTGTTTATAAAATCTAGTTGGTTAGCCTTAAAACATTCAAGTCAAATTCTTTCAGTTTTTAATAAAATATTGGAAAGCTCTGTGACATGTTATAATTTGAGTCTCTGAGCACTTACTCGTTAACGTTAGCTGATTTGAAACACTGTGGCTGGCTGCTGGTTTTCTTAAAATACTCTTTTTGGTGTTTCTTAAAGGGCAACGTGATGACATCTTGTAATTGAGCACATGTTTTTGGAGGGCCTCCTGGTGACAGGCATTTGTGTCAAGTGCTGGATGCTTTCTTTTTCCTTGGTACTTTACTGTACCTGAACTTGGTAAGTGCTTCTAATTTAAAAAGACATTGCTTAAAAGAAAAGTAGGTAAAGAGAGCAAGAGATTATGTGATGTATAATGGAATTCGTAAATGCTTACTGGTGCTGCCCAGGTCACACTGAGAAGGAGCAGTCCCCAACAGACAATCTGCATCTTTGAGAATCTCTGTAAAAAGACAGGAATATTTTACCCTTAAGCATTGCCAATTATAAACTGCAGCCATAGGAATAAATAAAACACAAAAGCATACACAAAAATTCTTCCCGCTAGCAGTCCATTTTCTTTCGTTTTTTTAAAAAAAATTATGTATAATTTATATCCAGGTGTAGCTTTGTTAATCTAAGAACTTTCATATGTCTAATTATTCCAATGTGAAAATGAAAGTTGTCCAATATTATTAAAATAATGAAGTCAGTTGATAGAAATGAATTTTATAGACACACTTATCTACTCTATTGTCAGCTCAGACTTTTTCCCTTTTGTCTTTAGAGAGAGATCGTTTCATTTAATTATTTATATAATTCATAATAACATGAAGTTAGTACAGCAACTCATAACAGACTCTTTAGACAAGTCTGCCAGGGTAGCAGGCTCTAGACCGAGGAATGAAATCTTGTCAACTCCCACGCTGGTGCCCCAATATGTGTCCTTATTTTAATTAGCAGTGTATCTAGAAGCTTCAGTGGGCTGGAGAGTGAAACAATTTATGGAATGCTTATATCAATAGCTAACATTTATTGAATACTGGAACGAGCCAAGCACTGTTCTAAAAATTTTACATGCATTCAATTAATTGAGCCTCACAAAACCCTATGAGTTACATGGTCTTATTATTCCTGTTTTAGAGGTTAGGAAATAAACACAGAAAGTCAGTTACCTTGCCCCAGAATTCCCAGGTATTCAGGGGCAGAACTGGGATTGGTGTGCAGGCAATGTAGCTATTCAGCCAGTGTTCTAATCAAGAATATGCCACCTTGAATAAGTTTCTGTTCTTCTATCTTATTACAGAAAAATCTACATGTGGTTGATAAAAAGGCAAATCATGTTTTACATCGGGCTCAACAAAATTATGTTTAAAACATTAACATTTAGCTATGGACAAATGTCATGTTTATACTTTGGTAACTATACTAAGATGAACCATTGAGCTCCTTTTAAGTCAAGTAGCCACCAGATTGAAAAAAATCTTCAGCATAACCTTGAACCACTAATCTGTTGGTTTTGATGAACACTAAATATTTTACCAACTGCCACACAGATATATAGCAACCAGTATGAGAATAAAAAAATTTACACCCTTTTTTGAGATTACTTGGGGAAAAGGACTTTTAATGGGAAAAATAATCTAAATACTGTTGTAATCTTTAAACATTTCAAAGTAAAAACTTTCATTTGGATAAACAAATATAACCATTAAATATATTCTAAAATTCTTGGCTATTCTCTTATAAATTAATGCAATTTTGAGGACCTTAATTTTAACTATAAGTTAGCCATCCAAGCATTTTAGAGATCGGGACAGCACAAGTCATTTATCAAATGACTAAACGCTCATCAATAGAAATATCTGCACAGATGAGATTTGAAAGTAAAATAGGATCACATTACCCTTATTCTGGTTTGTAAGTGAAGGTATAGAGTAAAGTCAGTCTTTGAGTTATTGTGCATCTTCATAATGCTAATAGTTAAATCAAAGAGAAAGTTGCTACCAAGCCATCAATTTCAGTTGATAATTTCTAGAGCTTGGTACATACTTTCTGTTTTATGAAACAAAGCACTAAATATTACACAGCTGTGCTCAGTAGTGAATACTTTTAATTTGCATTTATTTTCAAAAGCAGTCTCCTTACCTGGATGGAGAGCATCTTGAAAATGTAAACAACTACGTTATGAAGCTGTTTGCTATCAAGAACATGAAGAGAACCAGTTACCTGGGGTCGTTTACACTCGGAATACCTGGCTGCTTCTGCAGGATTCGCAGTCTCTGGCATTTTGCTGAAATTTAAAGTTTGTCAGAGTTCCCGATGGCCAATCAGCAGTGGCTCACCTAGCACAGGCAAACAATTTGTTACCAGCGCCCACAGATAACCATAGGGGGCAAAGTAATTTTAATCTAAAAATGTTTTTGTGGTGGAAAGCTGCTATCAAATGTTCCAGAAACTGGGATAAACAGAAAATATAAATACCTCAGTTTGGTGTATTGTGTTGTCAGATAATTAAAACTGATTTCAGAACTATTAATTAGGACCGACTGAATAACTAACAAGTTTATAAACAGAAAACATTTCAGGTATCCTTTCATGTAGGAAGTTTATAACTTCAATTTTGTCTGAATTAAATTCAGCAACATTTAACACAAATGTGTCGAGTGCCTATTTTGTGACAGGGAAACAGCAGTGAACAAAACAGACCAAAAAAAATCCTCGTCTTCAAGGAGTTTATAATCTGGTGCAGAAATGGACAATCAACAAGAAAAATAAGTAACATATATCGTGTTAGATAGTGACACAGACTAAGTCTAAGAAGTAAGTGTATTCCAGGGAGGGGGGATGGCGAGAGCAGGGACTCTGGGTTGAAATTTTAGGTAGGGAGTCCTAGGGAGGCCTCACTGAGGAGGTGACTTCTGAGTAAAGACCTGTAGACATATGACTATCTAGGCGAAGACCATTCTAGGCAGAAGGAAGAGGAAGAGGAGAGCCCAGAGACAAGAGCCTGCTGGCTTGTTCCAGAAACAGAGGTCAGTTTGGCTGGAGGGACTGAACAAGGAAATGAGGTCAGAAGGGTGTTAGATGGTAGATGATGTAGGCCCATTGCAAAGCTCTTGATTTTACCCTGAGTGAGAAGGAAGCCCTTGGAGGTTTTGGGCAGAGGAGGATCTGAAGGAGTGACTGAAGTAGGACAAGGCAGAGACCGGCTAGGAAGCTCTTGCGATAATCCCAGGAAGATATGGCTAGGACTTGAACCAGGGTGGTGGCAGGAGGTGTGCGGAAAAGTGGTCATGTTCTGAAGATATTTTGAAAGTAAAGCCAATAAGATTTGCTGATGTACCCGATGTGGGTTATGAGAGAAAATCAAGAATTAAGGATGACACTAAGTTTTTGCTTTGAGCAACTGAAAGAAGGAAGCTGCCTTTTATAGATACAGGGGAAATTGTGGAAGAAGTGGTTTTGGGGGAAATATTGAGGGTTTGGGTTTCGATATGAATGGTATAAAATGGGTCAATTTAGGACATTGGCTTTCTCATGAAACAAGTAGCACAGCCATATCTGAATAAGCCTTTCTAGGGCAATTCCTGCTCTCTTGTTATACCCCATCTGGATGCCAAAATTGTGATTGCAATAGTTCAGCAGGTTTCATTCAGTCTGAAAATATTACAGTGCCTGGAGGGGTAATTTACAGTAAAACTACATGTGAGACATCAATAAAAGATAACGTAAGTATTGTTTAACCCATACCAAGTGATAAGAACTACCTATAGCTAAACACAATTTTAACAAACTAAATAGTATAGAATGAGATTTAAGTGTAAAATCCTAATTTCTCCTAACTTCTGAAACAGACAAAAACCAAAATAAAACAAACAAAACGGCCCTTGCACGGCTTTAGCGGAGAGAATGGCGTCTTTTCTAGTTCAGGCTGAATCCCTGTTTTCGCTTTAGCCAGATTCTGTAGATCCTCTTCTGCGTGTCTCGAGCTTTCTAACGCACTCGCCAGGACCAGAATTCGAGCTATTGGGCCGAGGCCACTGTTGATTCACAACCCTTCAACCATGTATTTTAGAATATTTGAACATTGTCGTTGACATGGAGATGCTTAACTCTAGAAGCTTTGGAGTCAAACAGACCTTAGTTCAAATACTGACTCTACCACTTGTTTGCGTGGTCAGTGGCTTGAGCAACTAAATTGAACTTCTGTGAGCCTCAATTTTTCCATCTGAAAATGGGGAGCATAGTTATAAGCTAAGCGTGGTGCATTAACTCATTTAATGTTTACAACAGCTCTATGATGTAGGCACTGTTACTATCATCCTGATTTTAGCGCTGAAACATAAAGCAGTTAAGTGACTTGTTTAGGGTCACATATCTACCACATATAAAAAGTCAGAATTTGTAGGGGCCGGCCCAGTGGTGCAGAGGTTAAGTTTGTACGTTCCGCTTCCGTGGCCCAGGATTTGCTGGTTGGGATCCCGGGTGTGGACCTACTCACTGCTTGTCAAGCCATCCTGTGGCAGGTGTCCCACACATAAAGTAGAGGAAGATGGGCATGGATGTTAGCTCAGGGCCCGTCTTCCTCAGCAAAAAGAGGAGGATTGGCAGCAGATGTTAGCTCAGGGGTAATCTTCCTCAAAAAAAAAAAAAAAAAAAAAAAAGCCAGAATTTGTAATTAGGCAATCTGACTCCAAAGCAAAGTTTGAAAACCACTATAGTATATATACTGTCTCATTAAGTCAGCATAAACCTTAGCTTAACAAATATCTACAAAGGTCTTAGCCCAGTGCCTAATTCTAAACTAAGTAATAAAATAATACAGGCCCATTCTCCCCATTCCTCCCATTGTTAAATAATAATCGGGTATCAGATGACATCCTTTTGTATCTCCTTTCTGTCCTCTGTTTATTTTCCTACCATGAATTTTTCTATGACTTATTTGATAAGGGGGGAAAAAGCAATGAAATATTGAAAAAAATAATAGAGCTGAAGTTTAAGAGCATATGGCGGGCTGTTTCTCTAGTTGTCATAGACATTAATGACCAGAGTTTCAGCAAGGTGCAAAGGATTGGGGTGATACAGAAAGAGGCTAACAAGGAAAGGAGACGACAAGCAAGAGTGCTCAGTCAACTACAAGGCTGCACAGAGATACAAAGCCACAGAAACAGTAGATGGAGGTGAACACTACAAAAATGGTCATTTTAATATTCCATTAAGGCGATGAATAATTCAGGCATTTCTATAACAATGAGCAACTTTGTAGTGTTAAGGTTGCACACTGTTCTATAATATTAACTTTATACTTTTGAGTGGTGCAGGGAAAAGAGTAAGCATTTGGCGTATGCCTTGCATATGGTGCAGGCTTGGTTTTCTCACTGATCTTATTTTGTAGTTTCAGATAGTTCTCACATGTGCTTTTTCTTTGTTTTTCCTTCTTTCCACAGAATTTTAGTGTGTAAGAGATTTCCTCTTCATTTAAATGATGAGAAAGTTTAACTCTATCTAGAAAACGTGTTCTATGAAAGAAAATTAATAGACTTTTAAGAGAAAAAATTGACTTAGCTATTAGTCTTACCTAGGAGTAAACCAGCGGCAGCTAAATATATATGCTCCCAAAGCTAAAATGAATTCAAAGCTCAAAAAAAAAATTTTGGATGTGAGCGTTAAATTTAGAACCTACAATTGACAAACACAAAAAGAAACGAAAAGAAAAAAAAAGAGTGTGCTCTGGCTGGAAGGTTGCAGAGAAGAAACTCTGCAGAAAAAAACGAGAAAGATCATTTGCTGAAGCTCTGTGAAGCAGAGGTGTTATTTCTACCCTCTTGAAACTTGACCCCCGGGTTGAGCTTCAACTTCAGAAACTCCACATAACTTGCCTAAATACTTTTGTGTAATGAACAGTTTTGCCGTAACATTTCTTAACTACCAATAACCAAAGATAAAGACCAGGGTTCTGTAAAAAAGGTTATTTATCCTCACACAATCTCGATTTAACTGGAAACCAAAATGAAATTAAACCAAACTAGGAAGCAATAGAGAAGGGCAAGAAATGGACACTCGGTTCTTGGTTCACGGTTCAAGAAGGACCACCTCCCCGAGGATGCACCTAGCTCGGTTTTCCCCGGCCAGGCTGACAAGTAGAGATGCTCTTTGTAGAGATCTTTAGATGAAAGTAGTCCACGGAACATGTTCCATCATGTGGTGGCTTTTTCATTTCTTACTTTTCACTTGAGTGAGGACAATCCTATAAAATGTTAGCAAACTAGGCACCTACACTATTAGTTCCAGCTATTGGACACTCCTCCAGGAGTAAGGTTTTGTTTTGTTTCGTTTTCCCATTTATTTCTGGAACCTCCCACTCGTCTTCTCTGTACTCATGCTCTAGGCCCAATTGCTTTGATAGACATTTTCAAAATGGAGGAGACCTTTTATCCTCTGGGATCTTGGTCACCAAATTATTCTTAAGACTAGTATGTAACACATTCTCTGTCTCATCTTAGACAGAGGTAAACACATCCTACACATATTTCCATGTGTTCTGACTAACTGAAATAACTCTATGTTCCAATTTCTGTACCCAACAAATAGACAGTAGTTCCCCTCCTGAATCAGTGGGGGCTTCTTTATAGTGTTGTGAATGGACAAGAGAGGCCCATGGTGAGCAATCTCCTCTTTACCATACAGACTTTTCAAGCTTTGTCAAGGCTGTAGGCATTTTATAAGTGTTCTTTCCCTGTTGTTCTCCAGACGAGAGTCTGGAATGAATGTGCTGAGAGTCTCGCTCTGTTTTTAGCAGAAGAAAATGTTTCTGTTTTAAATATGTTCATTCACGAGCATCAATATTCATCCTCAGTTTTAAAAATATCACTTTTTCTAAAATGTCACTTACAAGCAACTTTTTCATCTACCCCAAAACTATTTTTATTATTTTTTTCTCTCAGTGTTTGGGAATTTCAACAGATGTGCATAAAAATGTCAGCCAGATACGGAACCACGAAGGGTCATGGAACAGCTTGAAGCTAGCTGTGTTCATTTCTCTCGGCTATTTATTTACTCATTCAGCTATTACCAGCAAAGAGAAGACATGTCAATATAATTTGCTTTTATTTTTATATTAGAAAGATGTCTTATTACACCTTAAAATGTAACTCAGAGGATGTAGTTAAAATGTAATTATAGTGATACCAGTCCTTTCCTTCAGGACATGGCGACATTGCTGGAAGTGGCTGCAAAACTTTGTTGTGTGACCTCAAGGGGAAATATCTCTCATTCTCAAAATAGTCTTTTTCAGAGGTTGCTGTTTTGTTTTTCAGGACCAAGAATCTTCTCTTTTGGAGACAGAACAGGATGACGTTTACCAGCTCGTTATTCATTGTATTGGACACATACTAATATTTTCTTAATAAATTGGGGGCTATCTAGCCTTCTCAGCTTTTAACTTTGTGTGTATCTGCATTGTGTTATCATTTTATTTTAGCTCCTCTCTCATGACTTTCTTAATTCTCATGGACCCAGATTTTCTCTCTGCTTATCAGTTCCTGTGCCAGTTGTCTATTGTTGTGTAAACAAACTACCTCAAAACTTAGTGGTTTTAAACACCAATTTATTATTTTCTCTCAAAGTTCTATGGGTTGACTTGACTCAGCTGGGAGGCCCTCATTTGGGATCTCACATTTGGGACATTAAGAGGGGGGCAAGTGCAAGAGTTATCTGAAGACTTGACTTGGCTGCATGTCCAAGATGGCGTCATGGTGCTTCTCCACATGACCTCTCTCTGTGACAGAATAGGTTGGACTTCTTATTTGGTGTCTCAGTACTTAAAATACTCAGTGGGTTAAAAACTCATTAACAGAATTTGTTGGTTTAAGAATTAAAGTTCCGATGCATATTACGTTCTGTTATGTTCTGTTCTTTCTCAGGAGGGCTCCCCACTCCTGAGACCCTACTGGGACTCCAGAGCAGAAGGCAGAAATTGGTAGGCCAGTTTTGAGAGCTAAGCCTGGAATTGTTATGGAGTCGTTGTCACTACATTGATCAAGCATCCGATTCAAAGGAGTCCAGAAACAGGTTTCATGCCTTGATGGAGAAATGGCAATGGTATATTGCAGAAGACCTTGTGGAATGGGAGATCGTATTGGAGTGATCTCTGGAGAATAAATGTGCCTGGGTCAGTCCCTGACAGAAATGCAGATATCGATCATTCACTGAAAATTACTCTCAACTGTTTGGTGTACTTGTGTTAGTAAGAGTTCTCCACAGAAACAGAACCAGAAAGATATATCAAGAGATTTATGTGAGAAATTGGCTCACATGATTTTGGGAGGCTAAGTCTCACTGCCATCTGCAAGCTGGAGACCCAACAAAGCCAGTGGTCTAAATCCAGTCTGAGTCTGAAGGCCTGAGGACCAGTGGAGTGGATGGTGTAAATCCCAATCCAAGGGCAGGAGAAGACAGATGTCTCAGCTCAAATAGGCAGGCAGGAAGCAAAGGGATGAGTTCCTCCTTCGTCTGCCTTTTGTTCTTTTCAGGTCCTCAGTGGATTGGATGATGCCCATCCATGTTGAGGAGGGCAATTTACTTTACCAAGTCCACCTACTCAAACACTAATCTCATTTGGAAACATCCTCACAGACACATCCAGAAACAACGTTTAATTTGTGTACCTGTTGGCCCAGTCAAGTTGAAACAGAATTAACCATCACAGTACTGTGTTTGTAACCCATTCTACACAGCGTAAGTAATGGTTTATGTTGTGCTGTTGACTTCATATCACTATCTTAGAGACAGAATCAAGATCAACCTTTGCCTCAGCTGGCTAACGGATGAGACCTACCTGATAATCTCGGTCACAAAATTTCAAAAGGAAATTAGTATACTGAAAAAATTATCTTTAAATATTATTTATAAAGATAATACTTCTTGATGTGTTTAGGTCCGGTAATTGTCAGAAGCATTATATTAAGCACCTGCAGAAAGGAGACAACTCACAGATTATTATT